TAAGACAGGTGTAAAATGTCCGTAAGTGATTGTTTTAGTTAAAGTCAATGCAGGGGGTCAGTCACCACCAGCTCAGACAGTCCATAGAAAGAGAAAAGATGATGGGCTATTTATTGGAGTCTCAATGTTAACCAGCCGAGGCTTTCTGTCTTATCAGCAGGGTGAAAGGTGCCTACAGGTGAGGCCCTCAATCAAGATCAATCTGGCACCAGCATCAAAAAAGACAGGAGGGGCCACTGGAAATTCTGGACTTGCTGTGTACTTGGAAGTCCCGCTGCACCAGCAATACAGGCTTAGGAAAGATATAGCAAACTGAAAAGAAGGAAAACGTTAAAGAACATAGATGAGTATAAGCAAGTCTAGTGAGCAGAAAATGATGCCAACACCAGATCAACAGATATGAATACAAAACATGCTGGCATGTCATGGCAGTGAACCAAAAGCTTGTGTAAACAGGTCAGTTTAGGATAAGTTTAAAAATGGGTTGTGTCTTAATCGCAAGAGAGGCTGTTCCAAAGTTGGAGGGTGTTGTAAGAGAAAGCTCTTCCCCATACTATTCCTTTGAATATTTTCTTGTCAGACCAGCAACTTGTAAACAAAGTATGGTGGGCACTCAATTAGTTCACTAAGATATGCCATTAAGATCTTTACACATCAGAAGAAGTGAGCTCCTTTATATAGTTGCAGGATGGCAATTCAGTTGTTAACGTCTCTGCAGAATCCAGATGAATTAACTTGGATAAACTGAGCCAGTACCAGTTAGTCCCCAGCAAAATGATGACATAGCACAGCCTGAGTCTGAGGAAACAGCCTCTGAATATGTGGAGCCGCATGGTGAAGCATAAGGCAGTGGCAAATAGTGTTTATGAGAGTGTCTAAGCAAATCCACTGCAGCTGTAGAAAAGGTGCCAGATGGAGAGGGAGTTTCGTCCTGTTGTGGTGGTGCCTTCGGGCTTCTGTATAGGTGGAAACAAAAGAAGGGTCAGAACCTGGTAGCAGCACCATGAACAAGGACTATTTGGTCCTCTTCCAATGATAACTTGGCCTCCTTATGCACAAAAGCCACAGTCTGTGATGTCTGGTCCCCCTTCTGTTCTTGTTTGGCACTGGTGCTGAGCTTATTACCTCGAGGCTTGTCTGAAAAGGTAGCTTCTGAATTTAGTTCTTCAGTATGATGCCATGCCTGTGTGACATAGACACTGCTCAGTGATGCAAGCACAAGTCACTAATAGCTTGCCTCATAAAATGGGTCACTAATGTAATATCACTATGCATAATGCTATGTGTCAGCTGAAGTGTGTAAAGCATGCTGCCGCTGTGCTCTAGAACAGTGAAAACGTGTTCTCTGTAGATATGAATTATGCCTTACTATCTGTTATTCTGATGGACAAACGCGAGTTTGGTGAATGCCAGGAGAATGCTGAATGCCAACAGTAAGAGTAATAATGGTCTGGGGCTGTTTTTCAGGGTTGGGGACGCTTAGTTCCAGTGAAGAGTAATGTTAGTGCTACAGCATACAAAGACATTTTAGACAATTACTTTGTTGTAAAAGAAGGAGAAGGCCTTTTCTTGTTACAGCATGTCTGTGCCTTTATGCACAAAGGTCCATAACAACATGGTTCAACAAGTTTGGTGTGGAGGAGCTCCAGTGTTCTGTACAAAGATGACAAATTGATGCAGTACTCACCAGGGGGGGTTTGTATCCTGGGCAGGGAGGTACCTTGCCCTGATAGTGGCTAGAAAGATTGTCTTTTTTGAGTTTTTTTCTCCAATTTCCTCTACGGCATACATACACATCATCATTGGGCCTATGTAGCTTTTAATCAGAATCAGCAACTTTATTTGCAATATATATATACATATATATATATATATATATATATATATGTATATATATATATATATATATATATATATATATATATATATGTGTGTGTGTGTGTGTGTGTGTGTGTGTTGCGCTAGTACGAGTGGATCAGACACAGCAGTACTGCTGGACTTTTTAAACACTGTGTCCACTCACTACCCACTCTATTAGACACTCCTGCCTTGTCGGTCCACCTTGTAGATGTAAAGTCAGAGACGATAGCTCATCTGCTGCTGCACAGTTTGTGTCAGTCATCCTCTAGTCCTTCATCAGTGGTCACAGGACGCTGCCCACAGGACGCTGTTGGCTGGATATTTTTGGTTGGTGGACTATTCTGAGTCCAGCAGCACTGCTGTGTCTGATCCACTCAGACTAGCGCAACACACACTAACACACCACCACCACATTAGTGTTACTGCAGTGCTGAGAATGATCCATCACCCAAATAGTACCTGCTCTGTGGTGGTCCCATGGGGGTTCTGACCATTGAAGTACAGGGTAAAAGTGGGTAAGAAAGCATGCAGAGAAACAGATGGACTACACTCTGTATTTGTAGAACTACAAAGTGCACCTATAAGGTAAGTGGAGCTGATATAATGGTCAATATGGAGTCTATGAATTGAGTGTAGACACAGACAGTACTGACTCTATGCGTAAGTTTCACTTGTAAAACAAACAAACACACGAGATACCAAAACACATCATTTTCATGGGCTGTAAATTGTTGATAAATAAGTTGTATTCAGAATTTAACATAACATATAAAGGCAAATTAATCATCTTATTGAATGTGGAGTCGAGAAAGTCTTAAGAAACCAGCAAAGCAATGTTTTTCTACATCACTTTGGCTTCAGTGGCAGAACCGTGTCACAAAGAGTATTAGTTTAACTTAAGACCTCTTGATAGTTCAGGCACATTCCCCTGACTCTGAGATTCTGAGTGCACCGGTCTGTTTCTCCAGTACAAAGAAGCGCCACTGTGATAGTAAAGTTTATGTTTTGGTTTCAGGGATGAATATCTGTGTTTCTTCCTCATTCTGTCGCCCACAGAGCGCTGATAGCATCTCTGCTTTGGATCCTGTAGCCGCATTTTCTGCTGTCTTTAGCTGTGTTTACCCTTTACTGCTCATTTCTCAAGTTATTTTAGCCTGACGTTTTTACTGCCTCTTCATCCTCTGCACCCCAGGGGTCCCTCCGTCTGACACCTTCCACAAGAAAGTTGCTGGCTAATGTCTTTTTTAGGGAATCACAATTAAACATGAAATGCCTTTTAAGCAAAGAATTCCTTGCGGCTGAGAAAACTTGCATGTGTCTACAATATAAAGCTTAATGAAGGAGGGCAGTTTTATGAGTATTAATTTCTTTGGGGTCCAGAGTATGACTGTAGATATTCAATGAGCCAATGAGAACAGTCTATTGCACAGGACAGTGAAATAAGATTGCACTGCCACCAATGATTCACTAGCACCACCCTCTGGTGTATACTTGTAAAACAACCTGGCCAGATTTTATTCCAACAAAACTATGACCTCTGCATGGACACTATTTCCCCTTTTAGTCATCATGAATATGACTCATAAATGGACAAATGAAGTACAGCTGCACTAACATACTAATGTTGTGCCTATAACTAAAGTACCAATAAGCAAGCTGAGTTATGAACTCAGTGAAGCACCTGAACAATTAACAATCTAGTGCTGCCAAATCACTCTTATGGGCATAAATGGGGCTATAATACCTAAACCCTGAAACACATACTACAGCTGTCTGAACAAGGTAAAGACATTCTTAGCTTTCAATGTAAGTTAATATAACAAGGTTTTATTTCAGGGAATTTTACACCATTTTGATTGGTCTATTCATCATGAAATTTTGATTCAATGTAAAGAGTACATCGAATTTTGAAACAAAAATGGAGATACATCCTGTGCAGAAGCTAGCTCGTCCACTCTTTACCTTCTACTACCTGTTCTACCAGAGAGTCACAGTTACAGTTGTTCCTCCCAACAACTGTTCCTTAAGGATCGCTGACATAATGTTCCCCTTCAAAGACCAACTACACAGACACACCTCAGCTGCCTTCCACATTTCTTATTTCACATCTAAAGCAGCTAAAGGAGATATTTCAGAGGTGATAAGATACAAGATAATGCACTTACACAAGAAAAAAGAAAGTCAAAGGAAAATATGTGAGTTATCAAAACTGGAGCTCAAAAAAGATTCAAAGATATAGAGATAATAGGAACTGTGCAAGACCTAGTAGACCACCAAAACTGTCACTATCAGACAAAGCTTTCATCTTTGAGACAGAGGAGAAAATCAAGCTTCACTCCTGCTTCAGATCTGAAAAAAACAAAAGTTTTTGTCCATCCTTCCACTGTGAGAAGACAACTCAACACTATGGGTCTGAAAGGATGTGTAGCTGTCAAGAAGCTGTTACTGAGGAAAGCAGACAGACCAAAAAGAAAATTTGCACGAGAACACTGAAACTGCACGCCTGAGATGTGCATGGATTGATAAGTCTAAATTTATGATGGAGATGACTCGGATCACGAGAAATATAAAATGCAACCAACTTTTAAGACTGAACTCTATGTAAACCTGAAAGCAAGCGTCCCGCAAAGAATGGAAGCTGTGAAAAGGCAAACAGTGGACATGTTAAATGCTGAAAATGATGTTACATGTTTGTTGACATTTATGTGTACTTTTTTGTTAAATATGTTATCTGCTTTTTTCCTGATGCTGAAAAATGGAACTTGTACGGTCATTTTCTCTGACTTGTAGGCGTACTGTACACTCAAAAAAAGATGGTTCTTGAAGGGTTCCAAAAAGGTATGTAGCACCAAAAAGGTTCCTCTATTGTTTGATATTAAGCTTGTAACAACTGAAGAACCACTTCCAATAAGGTTCTATATAAAACCATCTACAACACATTCTCCATTAATTTGAAGAAGTCTTTCACAATGCAAAGAACCATTTAATCATGCAAAGGGTTCTATAAGTGTTCATAGTTTTATATAGAAGCATTTTTTACTAAAGAACCCTTGAAGAACCATCATTTTTAGAAGTGTATAGTACTGTAAGAAACGACGAGGCGCTAAAAACACTGAGAAATGAAAGGCATCATTCTGTGCTTTTGTCTCATATTCATTGTTCTCATCTTTAATTAAAAGAGCTGGAGTATACAGCAGAAGTAACAGTTCTGACTTTGCTGTCCCAACATTTAAGGAGGACATTGTATATTTAACAAGAAGCAGAAACGATGTGACTCGTTCTACTGTACGTTTCAGATCACATTTAATGATTTGTTGATTCACATGAATCTTTCTAACTCAGTACAACTCGTCCATGGCAGCTTAGCGTTCTCTGCCTTTCTCGCTCTTTCTCTCTTACACTAGTCATACACACAAACACACACCCTGCAGCCAGTCAAACCAGCTGAAGAAGTCTCAAAAGGGAACTGTGACGCACTGTACGGAATCTGCTCGCCACCAACCAGTAACATTTCATCGTAAAGAGCATCACAGCCCCCCTTTTTAAAGTCCTTTCATGTCAGGACAATAATTGCAAGATCTAGCGTAGAACAACTCAATTAAAAACCCATTCATATCCATGAGCACCAATGTAGTTCATCTTAAGAGAATCTAACATAATAAAAAATAACACTTACTCTATTTCACTTATCTTTGACTGCAAGTACAGAAACACAAATGGCAATAAAAAATACACGGCATTAAAAAGTTGCAATAAATTCACGATAAATGGATCAGGATCACATTTCAAACTGTTGATACTTGTAATTATTTTTTTCTTCTACTGTTAATTACATAATATATATATAAGCCTATATTCTCCACAGGAATACTGTAAGATTTAACAGTCAGAGAAATGTAGTGAACGTTGAAACAAACCCCCAGAGCTTGTGTCATATGGACCGTACTGTTATTGCTTCACGCTGACACGGATTTCCAACTAAAGCAATGTGAAGCTACATAGTTCTGACAGTCCTTCATAGTAGCAGGATGTGTAGACGCTTCTTGGACCAACCAACTTGACTGTCAACGTTCAAATATTAAGATTCAGCACATAAACCTGTAGTGCTTTTGTCTGTTATATGCATTCATGTAGTTCATCAAAGGTGGAAATACAATCCAGACAAGATCAAGGCAGCTTCTCTACTGGTCATCACTGTCCACAGTTTCATCAACTTGAAACGACTGAATGAAGAAAATGTTGCTTTCATCCAATCAGGAGCTTGCGCTTGATAGCTGTAGCCAATGAGATTGCCTCATGTCAAATGTCTGGGAGTGACTCTGAGACTGACTCTTTGGCACGTTCTGCCACAGGCGGATGGATGCGATGCAGCCAAGTTCTTGGCATGGACACTAGTATGCTATAGAAAACAACTTTAAAAGTATACAGGGTCAGAGTTTACCACTACATGGTGAGGGCATTTACAGGCAACCATAATTATGAATTACTGACCTTGTAAGTGCATGCACACGCGCACTCACACACACATACATACTTCCATATGCTTCCCTATCCAAACTCTGATAAAAGTGCATCAACTCATTGCCCTTTTGCAAGACATTCAAATTCTTGTCCTGTAGCTAAACCAGTTCAAATTTATGACATTCAAAGGTGCAATAAATTAGCACAGAGGTTTGGGTTTAAGTCAAGGCAGGAAATAAATAAGACAGTTTAACTGCATCCCAATAAAACCTAGTATTTAAGAGCCCAACATTTTTAGGCCCAGTTCCCATTCAATGAATCCAAGGCAATTTCTTGAAAAAACAAACTGTTTTAAGCAAACGGAAGAGGCAATTCCCTATAAGCTGCCTCAATATTTGGGACTGCTTCAACAGCAGCAAGCTAATGTGCAAAAGAAAATCTAGGTTTCTTAGAGACTTAACGGAATTTTAGGATTGTTTAAGTTCTAGCTTATGCAGGTACCTTCTGCAGTACCAACATGTAAAAAATCATGAGCTTCAAGAACCCAGAAAACAAACAGTAGTCAGAACTTCTGAAAAGGCCAGTTGGGCCTGTTTTGCTCATTTTTAATTAAATATTTGATTAGATCAATCAATGTTTAATAGCTTATATGAGCCTTTACTGGGCCAAAAATTAATTCATTAATTTAAAGAAAAACATTTTCAGGATTTTAAAGAAAAGAAAGAAATGAAGAAATGAAATATAAATGATTAAAAAAAAAATAAATGTCAAAAATCTGGCAGAGAAATGTTCACTTTGGGAACTAGGCTTATGAGAACAAAACATTAAAGGCCTGTTTCAATAAAAAAATGACCTAAATTGTGTCTCACTCTTAAATGAGACCCAGTAAGGTGCAAAGAGATCCTAAAATTTTAACGATGGTGTGTCGGCAGTGTCAGTTCATGCTTCATTATGGCACGACTGTGTTAACCATCGAATGCGTGTCTGATTGCCACACCCATCTAGGGTAAAAAGGCTTGGCCTAGTGTTTAAGTGCTTCGGAACAAAGCCGTTCAAGAAAAGTGCTACAACAATTTTGGACGAACACAATAACGTGTTTTCATAATTGTGCCATAGATTGCTTCTAGGTACTCTTACCTATGTGATAGTTTTGACTAGTTTGATCAGTACTAAACAAAAGAAAGTATTACAAGGTATGGAGCGTTCAATCCATACATTCTTAAAGTGCCCACTGAGCTACAATAAAATCCAATCACAGGGCGAAGTCAGCAAGTTTACAGGAGTTAGTTACCACATATACTTCATCTCCATAAGCACTTCTGAACCGTCAGTGTCTGATTACACAAATAATACCACTGAAGAACTAAACCATCAGGTTAAGCATGGAGGATTTTGTGACCCTCCTGCACTTGACTGATGGCTTGATATTTTGTTGGCCAGGAAAGCCTAAATTGTCATGGCAACTGGCCTATCTCAAGCCTCACTCTACCTTTACTGCTGCATGCTAAGTGGGTCAGGGTGAGTGGGTGGTTGGCAAAGCTTTTCTGAAAGCTCTGTTTTATAATGACAGAGACACATATTCAAAGACGGGTCTGTAACAGTCTGTAAGGAAGTTCAGAGAGAATGATGGATAAGGAAGGCAAAAACATGAGGCAGCAGAGCGTGTATTATGTGGCAGGAGTAAGAACTGGCTCTGCTGTGGCTGGAGTTCCAAGGCTGGCCACTGGGGGAGCTGTTGAGGTTGGGGTTGGAGTGGGTGCGGGTGTCGGAGTAGAGGCAGGCGTGGGTATAGGTGTGGGGTTCAGCGTGATGGTCGAGGTGGTAGTCAGAGCTGTGGAAGTAGTAGTAGCGGTGGAGGTAGTAGCTGACGCTTGGGTTCGAGGAGCAGCTGTGTCAGATTTGGCAGGAGTGCTGTTTGCAGTGGGAACTGGTTTGTTGTAGTTGAGATTCAGAATGTGTTGCTGCAGGTGCCTGATCCAGTCCTCCTGCACTGAGAGAGGGCCATGGAACTCCACATCACAGAACCTGAAAAAGATAAGAACATCAGCATACCAACAGTCTAGTAATGCACATTTACCAAATGGAGTGCCACAAGGTTTTATTTTAAGACCACTGCTTTTTACAGCATCAAGAACCCACAGAAGCCTGTACTGTAATTCTACTTAAAAATAGCAACACATATGACACAAAAGCACAAATGACTTACCGGCATTTAAGGGAGTAGATTTTTCCCACAAGTTTGACAAGTGGGGTGGAGGGAGGCTTTGGGACAAGGGCAGGTACGGTACTGGTACGAGGTGGTTTTGGGGGACAGCTCTCTCTCTCCCCTCCATCAGCATGTGATGGGTGTTTCAGTGGCCGTCGCTCAATGCCTAATAAAAAATAAGACACCAATAAGACATTAAAACAACAATAAGACATTAACAAAGCACAATAGTGCCTAGTAGAAGGAGAGTGAAATTGGCCACCTTTTTAATAAAACGAATAAAAAACCGAGGCAAGAAAGCAAAAGAGCAAGAAAGAAAGCATTTGAGAAGCTGTAAAGGAATATGTCTGGAAGAGTGTTTGACTAAGCTCTTACCCCGTGGCACACGGACGTTTAGTTCACTCCGTGCCACTTGGGCACGTGGAAGAGTACTGTTGGACTGATGTCCCTCACCCTGTGTACTGACAACATGCCGAGAGGAGGCACCCAAACCATTTTTTACATCAACTGCCTGTGATGATGATCTCCAGGAGGTCTTCATAGCATCCCGTCTGACTGTCCTCCCATGGGACAATGTCAAGGATGCCCACTGGCCTGCTGAAGGCTTCTGAGATACACGGGTCATGGGGTCAGAATCAGATGATGGCGAGAGAGAAGAACTGCTCCTCTGCAAGACAAATGTGGCAAGAGGCTTTTTTCAGGCCAAAATAAATCCAACTGGTGAAAATTTTCTCGCTGAAGATTTCCGGCACACATCACAAAGATTAGTATGATGTTACTACTTATCATTACAGCATGTGAGCTGTCTTTAGTACCTTCTTTTGGGCATTGCGTCCACCCTGGAGGTAACTGCGGTGTATCTCAGCTACTGTTTGTGGGCGACTGCGCATCCAGGCACTCAGCGTCTCGATAGGTGAACCGTTCACACACCACTCAGTCACACCAAACTGTCGCAAATGGGCGCGAGCGTGGCTGGCCAGTGCTTTCCGGTTCTCAAAGAAGAAACCACACAGCTCACAGCTAGCATCTAAGAAAGAGCACAGAAAATGTCTGTCTGAACTATTCTGATTAATTCAAATTTAGAATTCAGAGGTGTATCACACCTGTGTAGCCCTTGACAGTATGATGAGGACCCACTGGATCTGAGAATTAAGGAGCTAGCTACCCTGACACTAGCTACAGCGTACAAGGGGAGTAGCACAGCTCTTATTTTTACTAGTCATTCAAAAATGAGTTAGGCATCATCTGCCATATTTAAAGAATAAAGACAGAGTGTTTCAGACATCAATAAAAAAGTGTTTTGTTGGTCACTTGCTACTAAATGCTAGCAGCATATGCTGCATTTTGAGGTGGATAGGTATGGTAGCAGGTAGAAGAACTGTACAGCAGAAGAATTTCTGTTGTATTTCAGAGAAGTGTCAGTGTCAGCCACTCGCCCCACAAATGTAGATAAACTGTCTAACATAGGCTATCATAATTCACCAAATAAAACAACATATTTGGGTGCATTTAGTAAGGCACTTTGCTTTTATATGATTGCATCAATAAAAAAAAAAGCTAAAATGACCACAAATATCAGAATCATGCTTCCTGTTTTCTATCTGTGCTTTCATGCACTAGTTTTTATCAACCTGATAGGGAACAAATTTTTATCAAACTAAATGCTAGCAAGTAGCATTCAGCCTCACTCTCTACATGCCAACACTTTCAAAGCAAAATACAGTTGAAAACTATAAACTGAAAAATGTCTGGGAAGTAAATGCTATACTGCTTAAAAAATGTATTTAAGTGTTTTATGTTAAGCAGTTAGTAATAAAAAAACAAGATGCTTGTGTCACTGATAGGCATACCACTTTGTTCCATACTATTTAAATGTGGAAATACTACGTAATGCTTTGACTCTCTTTCTGCATGTTTATAAATGTTTTTTTCTTTGCCGCCTTATTTCATTACTAAAATCAGACACACTCCATCAATATCTAGTGGATAACCCACTAATCTGTTCAACTCCTAAAATGTACGTTTTTTTTGTTCATGCATTTTCAGCTACAGTTTTTACCCAATATGTTTCACAGACAGCTTTAAAATGCTACATTCAACCTGACTGGAATCGGCTTGAAAAAACACACTCTTACCCATGTGGCCTACCCCATGCTTGTCCGTGGATACTTTGGCCTTAAATGAGAAATCCTGTGGTGGAGGTGAGAAGGTTTTGGACGTGGCTGGTGGTGACCTTTCACCAAGGTGTCCTTCAGATGCCAGCACCCTCTTTCCAAGTGGTGCCATACCAAAAAACTTTCCTGCAGGGGGTGTGGTGGACAGCCCTGTGGCCCCTAATCCATGCTTATGGAGGCGTGAGCCAGAGTGGAGCAGGTTAAGAGGTGACTTGCGAGAGACTTTGGGTGACTGATAACCCTGACCTTTCCAAGGTGGGCTGCTGTCCCGCCCTGGCTCCTCCTTCATGCCCAGCACAACGGATGCAGGCGTGGTGCCTTGCTTCCGCATGATCTCCCACAGCGTGTCGATGGGCGAGCCATTCACAGACCACTCTGTGATGCCCATATGGCGTAGGTGGGAGCGGGCGTGGCTGGAGAGACCTTTGCGGTTCTCAAAGAACTCGCCGCAGAACTCACAGCGGATGTCACGTGAGGGTTCTCTCTCTTGAGGCATGACTGGGGGTAACAGAGAAGCAAGTGAATAAGCCAGTAACTCTATTCTGTGGTTTAAATGAATAGTTTTGCAATTGCACAACTTTCCCTTTACCTCACTCAGATCTATTAAATCAGCCAAGACATGCTAGTTACTTCTTTACTTTTGCGCTGGATCTACTAGATGTAATGGAAGCTTATATAAGCCGATTAGCATTGTGCAAACTGCATGCCTAAATCAAACACTTGCTTCAAAATGTAGGGAGTTGTTCAGTAATCGTACAGACTTAATGTATGACATACTGATTTGTCCATTTTATACGTAACAGTATGTCATACAGTGTCAGAAAGATTAGAGAAAAGAAAAGAGACACTCTGGCTAAAATGAAACCTTTACCTACTGCTACATCTATTGTACACGTCTATCTGCATCCTACAGTGGTGCCACAGTAATTTCACGGTTTAAATGAAAGGAAAAAACCCTTCTGATGTGTCTTGAGGGTGCAAGTAAATTTTGTAAAAAAGTACTTTGGATTGGATGCTTGGGGTGGATTGTGTGAATGTTTCCTTTAATAAAGAAAGGATCTGATGACTGATTCAGGTTAGTGGTATGTAAGTAATGCTAGTTAGCACTAAAGATGTGATCATTAACTTCTAGATCACTGGCTAGCAGTCTGGTTTCGTTCAGCGCCTACCGATTGCTGTGAGATGTATTTGTGTAATGCATGCTGGGTATTGTAGTAGGAGAACACTGATGGGCGAAAAGGCAAAAATGATACAAATCAGGAATTCTGTCAAGCCAATAAGGCCAAGACATGCCCTACAGAAGGCAACATAATAACCAAATGCTAGTATTAAGCACAAATACCATTAATGGACCTCAGTTTGCACAGCACTAAGTGGTAGGGTATAAACATTGATTATTTTTATAGCTACAGCAGCCTTGAATGCAGCCAACGGAAAACCTTGAACACCAAATATGACTACATTTGGGATACCGGAAATATTATCAATTACTTTTTTTAACTCAGGTAATGCTTTAAGCATGACTTATTATTAATTTATTCCCTTAGTGAATAAATGCACTGCAAACCTACCCAGGTTGATAGGATGCACATTGTCTGTGCTGCCCCAACTGGAATGCTGAGGTTCAGAGCCATACGCTTCGCGTCCTTCTATCTCTTCTTCAGTCACGGTGACTTCCACCTGCTCAGGTTCTGGCTTGGGTTTAACCATTACCACTGTGGAGGAGGAGTTGGTGGCAGAAGCTGATACAGGCAGCTTGCGGGCAGTGGGCTGGTGCTGGCTGGACTGGTGAGTATAAGGAAAAGTCAAGCGGCCAAGGACGCCCCCCGGTGGGGAAGAGGATTGGAGGGAGGTTCGAGGAGGTCCTGGGCCTGGTGAGGAAGAAGGTGATTTCAGGGGTTTTACTGGCGTGACACAAGGCAGACCTCGACGAGCTATGAGCTCCCGGAGCGTGTCAATGGGTGAGCCGTTCACAGACCACTCTGTGATGCCCAGCTGGCGCAGATGGGAGCGGGCGTGGCTGGAGAGGCCCTTACGGTTCTCAAAAAGCTCACCACAGAACTCACAGCCCACATCTTTCAGCGGTTCAGCTACAAAGGTAGAATAAGAAGAAACAGTTTTATAAATGCAGTTCTTATTTATACAGTCGTACGCAAAAATTTGGGCGCCCATGATAAAATTACACGTTTTGTTAATATTCTAAGTGAAAATAAGTAACACGTCCTCTACAGAGGTCACACTTCTACACACTTAATACACAATCACTGTTTACTCACTCAAGCCTCAACAACACAACTGTTCTTAGTCCCAGACCTGGAGAATTCTGCACTGTAGTTCTACATTTTCTTTGCTCTAATCCCAGAATCTCTCAGAAGTGACATGATTAAGATTCTGCGTGTAAACCTCCTTTACCTTGAGCTGTAAATCATCTCAGTAACTACACTTTTCCATCTCCCAAAACAACATAAAATATGCATTAACATCCTGCAAAGTGCCAAAAATCACTGTTGATAAATCAAAAAAGTATGTTGGAACTGAACATTTTTAATTAGGTACTGGTCACATCCCTTAATGTGACCTCAAAAATGTCTGTGATGTTCATGTGCCAGGATTTTTCAACAGAAGCTGTCATATGCTACATTGTTTTGTAGAGTCATGATACTGAGACTATGCTGACTCTAACACACTTGATTCAGTTTGAGAATGTCTTTATCATTATTTACACTCGGAAGAGCATGAACTGACCCATCCATGCTCAAAAAATCTGTTATTTTGTAGCAACTGAGGTTAGACAAGCTTTACAGATTGCTGGGAGAAATCCCACTGAACCTTAAGAATAAAGTGCAGCGCACAACTCAGTGTTTGTTAAAATATGTACATTCAGATTGTGTTATTAATTTAAAATTATATTTATTCTGTATGCATGTGAAAGGGTCCAGTGTTAAGTGTTAAGATGATCAGTGTTGGGGGTAATGTGGCACAAAGTAATGTGTTACAGTAATGTGATTACTTTTTTCAGTATTACAATGCAGTTTGAATTCTTGCACATTACAGTTATTGGCTAATGAATTCCACAAATGTTTCAAACTTTTTGCAGAACTCAGTGGTAGAAATGTAAACAAAGACTTTGCGAGTGGTTTGATGTGAAATGGTTCATTGTCAAGAATCTTGCCGACTTAGAATTATTTACAGTGGTGGTGATTGGAACCAGGGGTCACAATGCCTACAACGCATTTATTGCCATTATATTTACTATCCTAAATGATCAGTGAACCTTCCCATGTCTTCTGAGTTTTTATATGCAATGTTGATAATGGTCAAATAGTGGTAAATCTGAAGAAATATGTTTTAATACAATACAATACTAAAATACAATACTATTTTGCCTTCCAACTTCCTGCATGTACCTTTCCACCATGACTGGGCATAAAAACATGTTTTAGGGATAAGCCTGGTCTCAAAACTTTCATAAAACAATTTCTCAAACATCAGGCAGTGTATTAATAAACATTTATATTGACTTTCTGTGATTTAGCTTTAAAGGTATCAAACTCTTCAGACCTCTGGTTCCTATCACCACCACTGTGACCAATACTAATTCAGTAAGTTTCGTAAAAACGGAGCATTTCAAAGGACTTCAACATTGCATGCTGAGTACCTAAACTCACAAACACACTACTGAGGATACACTTTTTTGTTGCGTAACCTAAAATTAGCATGGAGGCAAATTCTATGCTATGTTATTTCCAACCTGCTTAGTTTTGATAAGCTATATCAGCATAGTACAGCTTGGTAGTGTAGCATAGCAACTCAAAACATTATAGTAGTCCAATTTAAACAATCTGAGTTGTGAGCTACAATTTCTCATTAGTTGAATGGCATTTTTGGCATGTTCTGTAAAGCTTGTCCAATCTGGAAACAGTTGCTATGAAAGAATGCATTTGTGGGCGGCTAAATTATGCTCAAGAAGAAAGAAACCAAAAAAATATGCGTTTAGTCACCAAGAGAAATGGGCATCAGCTCCCTGCTATTCAAACGGAAGACTTGTTGTGGGGAGGGTTTCAACTTCTTGGTGGGTGGAGCTAACAAGGAGTGCGTAGTGGAGGAAGAGGAGGAGGAGGTAGCTTTAGGGCCGACGCCACTGCCCAGTGCTGAAGTTTTGAAGAGGAGAGAGCTGGGGAGGAGGGGCCTCTTGGAGGCTGAAGACGTGGATGTGGATGGAGAGGGAGGAGTCACGCCAGAACTTCGGACCCTCAGGTCCTCTGGGCTGTCAGGGAGTAAGGAATTCGCTCTATGTTTGAAGTCGTCAGTGAGGATGAGTCTGTTTAGGAGGTCGATGGGGGAACCCTTGGACTCAGAGTATTCCACCCCGAAGTGGCGGAGGTGGGCACGCGCATGACTCGACAAGCCTTTGCGCGTCTCAAACCACGCACCACATAACTTGCATATAATGTCTTTGCTGGGGTCCGCTTCCATTGCTATAAACAGAGGGACAGAAACACAGAAACATTATTAAAGACAGCAAAAGTACTTGCCTGATAACCCTACCACTTTTAACTTCTTAAACCAGGGGTCTCACAGCACTGACAGTCTGTCACACATTTACAGTTTATCCTTTAATCCAGTCAAAAAACATTTTTTTGCTGCACCTAAATATTTATATCAGACAGGTAGATTTGCAGACAATGTGGTTAGTTACCCAGCATAAACTATATAAAGGCTGATGCTTAAGTTCTTACAAGCATGCAAGAGGAACCACAAAATGATGCTGCTCACTCTGCGAGCATCACTATAATTTAGTTATAACTAACTTAGCTCTTATTCATATTTTGATTGACAGTTAGTTAAATCTGTCTTTGTGGATTTATTCATAATTCAATACTCGTCCGAATTAAGAAATTAACTGAATTATCAAATGAATCCATTGAGAACAGATTTAACTGCTTTGCCAATACTTCACTCACAGTAACTTCACTTGCATTAAGCAGAAACACCAATGCTATCACAATAAGAGTTCGATGTAATTTTACTGCGAAATCCAAAGTTACTTGATTTAATTGTGTTCTTATTGGTCAGCTTTCTTTAAGTACTGATAGTATTCACAATATGCCCAGGAAAGCATTTCGTGATGTAATTTATCACAATAACAATAAATATTGACTAATCGAAGTTCATCTTTAAGGCCAAAACGATTTATAAAGTCCACAACTTCACAGGCTTCAAATCATTTATAGAAAGCTGTAAAAAAGAAAACATTCAGAGAATTATGAACAAAACTGTGAATGATTATTTAACAACTAGAATGAGGTTATACAGTGACAAGATTAGTTTTCAAAATGCCGCATATATGAAAAAAAAAGGTGAACCAATCTCAAATTAAATAATAATAAAAAGATGTTAACTAGCATGTACTAAATTATACAAAATAACTTTCGGTATCAAACTTTTGAACAGTACTGTGTATTTTTCTCTAGTAAATCATTGAGAGAACACATTAATAAACCAATGCAAAGTGGAATGAATATTAAAAATGTCTTACTGAGATTCAGAGGGGCGTCTGTGTCCTGTGGAGCCCAGAACGGTCTGGGTGGAGTGGACAGGGCAGTGCTCTGAACCCTGCACATGGACTTATGCTCTTGGGAGCGCAGTGGGGAAGACACAGGCAACAGGGAAGAGATGGGGGCTTTTCTCAGAACAGGGGACGGAGACGGAGAGCGAGACTTTCCAAACGGAGAGGAGGGTAGAGAACCGCATGGAGAGGGGCTGGTCGGAGAAGGGGGAACTTTCACTACACTGCCCAAGACAGACAGCGGGAGAGGGGGCTTAATATCCTGCGATTCCTCTTCAAACTCTGTGTCCCTCCTGGGGCTCGGTGTGGGCACGGGTGATGGAGGAGTTTTTTTCGGCGATGGCGCTGGAGCGTGTGAGAGGGGTGTGACGGGGGGCTGGGCATCAGTGGCCCGTTCCTTGGTAATCTGGTAGAGGAGATCTATGGGGGCTCCGCTGCTCTCTGACACGCCCACGCCAAGCTGGCGCAGGTGAGAGCGGGCATGGCTGGATAAGCCTCGTCGCGTCTCAAAGGGAGCACTGCAGACCTCACACTTCAGCAAACTAGAGCCTGGAGAAAATAACACAGTGTGAATCCATTACAGTTAGAACCATCCAGGAGCTGGCAATATGGAAAAATACAACATTTCACAATATACAATATGTATCACAATATTTAGTTTTTCTGAGGTTTAAAAACAAGTTATAACAGGAAAATTACACATAACAGGAAATGTGCACAGCAGTAATGCACATTTAAAAAAGACCATGACAAACTATGAGCACAGTTAAGTATTTAAGAAGAAATAGTGGGAAAAATAAAAAAACCAAACTAATAAGTGGTCTAAATTACTGCACATTAAAATGCCTTAATGTGACAAATTTGTAACGCCACTAATTTTTAACACCGTTTTACTAGTTTGGCCCTTTAAACCATTACTGCAGAGTGAAGCCCAGCTGCTCACATTCTGCTATGATAAACAGCAATTGTGGACCTCTTGTTTAAAATCAGCTTTTAAATGGCTTTTAAAACGATGGCTTTGCTGTACAGCACTCACAGGACACCTAAGGATAAACCAACAAGCAGGGATAGAATCAGGGAAGAGCTGGAACCACTGACTGCATGTATACCATATATGATATATACAATCATTGCTGGAACATGCAGCCACTGTTGCATGTTCCAGTGATGAAAAGTCAGTGATGAAAAGTCAGTGATGAAAATTGGAAACAATGTTAAATTCAGGTGAATTCTGCATTCACAAGATGAAAACAGCATTACTGAATAGTTACTGAAGTAATTATTAAGTGATATGATTAAGTGATTAAGGTTATTTTGCCTATCCATATAGCTATAACAAAATACAAAGCTTTTTAAATGAAAAAATTCTTTAGGATCAGGATAAATGCAATTACTTGCGATTAACTTCACAAAGTAATGTGATGAATTGCAAATTATTAATAAATATTAGTAAATATTTAATCTTTTTTTATTATACATGATCTAGAAGTACTGAGGATATAACAACAGCATGTCTTCGTATAGAATCTTCACAATATTAAATAATATTTTTATGAAATTTAAATATTTTCGACATATTAAACAGTAATAATTAACTATATCAAAGTACATACAGGATCATAACAGTCACAGTATTAAACTCTGTGTTAAGATTTTTACATTACTGTAGTACTTAACCCCTTAAACTGAATTCTGCAGTATGTTTTATTTGATGACTACTTAGCATTACATGACTACTAAGTAGCTACTCTAATACCAATATGATGTTTATGCAGTTATGAAAGAGAGGAATGGAAGTGTGGGCCTGCATATATGGTGGTTTTACAGTTTAAGAGGTTAAAACATCCAATAAAGAAGCCAATAAGCGTACACAAACATGTCGACTGATTCACGAATTAAAGCAATAATAACTCCTATCATGGTCTTCAACCTGCTGTTTTCTCCAAGTTAAGAACATTAATTTAATCATATGACATTAATGTAATGGACTGGGCTAATCTCAAAGCCAACTCACTCTTGGACTCTGGCTCTTCTACAGGAGCAACGTTCTCTGGCTGTAAGAAGGAGCTATTCGAGCCTGGGCTTGAGCTGAAGTTGTCCAGAAGTGGCATCTTTACAACGTCCTCTTTATCCTCCCCACCTGAAAATATACACACACTTCTTACACACTTCTTAATCACCAGTCACGAATTCAAAGAGTCAGTGTATGTCAAGAGTAATACCTTTGTAATAAGTCTTAAAGCTTAGAGATTACGTTCAGCAAACCAATGGAAATTCAGCTAATGTAAAACTTTTAACCCCTAAGTGTACTTTTTTTTGCAATTAATAGACTGAGGCTGATTTAGACAGTATCCAAAGAGAGCAGCTGGACCACTATAGATGCATTAAGTAATGCCATCACAGTGTTTTTCAGTGCAATGTAATTAACTAAGGTATGTTGGCAGATGTCTGCCTCCAGCTTTATGGAAATGATTAATCCCCCCCAAAGAGATCATCAAATGAAGCAGAGTTCAGGATGTCTATTAAGAAATTACTTTCATCTTAAATACATACATAAAACATGCAGTCACTTATGCAAACACAAAAAAGAAAGCAAAGGTCTGTATCAAACTTTTTTTCATTCATGACATTTGAGTGCTTTCATTTTTAATTTAACTTTTACAGTGTAACGATTCTAAAACCAAGACAGTGAACCCCCCCCGCCAACCCTTTTCTTAAGAGAACATTTCCTTCATTCACTCACATATTTGAAGTTCATTTAGCATGTTCTGTAGTGTTCTTCTCTTTAGTGCCCCAACTTGTTGGTGATTTAATTTCAAAATTTCGAAAGTAAAACATCAGCGGCTAACGTTCCAGCTCATTATTGATGTTGGTACAATGCTGTATTATTTTGTACTACAGTTAAAATGCCAGACTTTTTTGACGTGTATTTTTACAAGGTTTTACATGTATTTTGGCAGGGCTTTAACATTTTTTTGGCTAGAAATTACAGAAGCAATCTAGCAACACTGTTCTCAGTCCTCATTTGACAAAACAGTGAATATTTCGTTTAACATCCAGACACTTCTCAGTCTTTTATAGCGAGATATGAATTAAACTGAAAACTTAAAACAGTGTCAAACATTACTTTGTAAAACGTTTAAGAAGCAAAACAAACAGAACTCGTCTGTAAGAAAGGCGGTAAAGTATGAAAAATGCATGAGTGTGCAGAAATGCTAGAACCAGGATTAACAGATCAGGGGATAATTTACAAAGCACGACTTCTCAGTTCAGCCGCATAACTTAAGCTCAAAGTCAAGCCTGTCTAACAGGACAAAAGCTGAGGGACAATCTTATTGGACAGTCCTCATTTTTGGGCTTAAGTTATCTGGCTGAGAACTGAGAAATCCTACTTTGTGAAATAACCCCCAGATCAGAGAGTCACATCTCAAACAAAAACACAGGAGATAAAATGGTGAGAAATGACAACTGAAGGCTGTTTGGGATCCGTCTCAGCCGCAGTTTCTCCAGAAATCTGCCAGGGCTTTTCTGAAATTGCAGACAAAAATGCTTACGTAGCTTTTCTGACATCTACCAAAACACCTAAAACGTTATGTTAGTTTTTACTTAGAGAATGGCTGGAGAATGAAACGGCTTCAACTCGTCTGAAATATGACTCACTTTGACGGCACCGTCTGGCTCAGCTCTCAGGAAAGATGATGCCAGACGCTGATTCCAAATACTCCCATATGACTTGATTTATTGTTTTCTGAAGACTTTCATGTCTAGCGGCAGTGTTGTCAGTACTGCTGGGTGAAGCGGTGAGAATGGGAAGAAGCGAGGCTAAAGTGGCTGCTAGCTCAGCTCCTTAAAGTGGACAACACTCACTGCTGAACAGCCGCACAGCACCGCACCTACAACACCTTCACTCAGACAATTTTTCCCCCTATTGTTTGCGTCTGCAGGGATCTGAAAGCAGCCATTTTGCCCCACACACACAAAACCAGCAAACCCGAGAAGTGACCAATTGAGTAAAGGCGGAGATGAAGCTAAATACTGAATGCCAGACATCAATTTAAATGCACCGAGACACTGCATGGAGAAAGGACACTGTGTTCTTTGCCTGATAAAAGTAGCACAACTCTCCCTGCTTTCACATCCACTGATCTGCACAAGCTTCTTCTGAAGTCTCTTCTGTCCCAAGGTGGCTCCTCTTAACTGTACAAATTCTGTCCACTTTACATAATACAGTTTTGTAAGCTACACTTACTTATCTTTCAATGCAATAAAAATTGCTATGAGTAATATATCTTAAAGGGACATTCCAGGCTAAAACTAGCACTTAATACATTACTTGTCACGTAATATTCTGCAGCCCTCAGCCTCAGTCAGTGTGACACAATTCACAAAAAGCTTTGGGTACTTTTGTATTTTTGTGCTTTATTAAAATATATCATATGGCCCACTAAGGTGATACAGTAATACAATGATGTAGAGGCGCATAAATACAGACATGATATTCAGTTTCCTAGCAGTAACCTTTGCCTTCTGGCTTCCTTCTGCATTAGCCAACTAGAAGGAAATTTCGAACAGTCCACTCCCAAAAATCCACCCCACTAGAGTCTAGAAACTAGAAAAAACTCTCTGAACTACTGTGCCACTGCAAGAGGTGGGTAAGCACTTTCTTACAGTGGATGTAGCAATAGTAACATTTACATTTTGACCAGAATACCCCTTTAACTGGTTTTAAGCATGATGAGACTCCAGTTTCTAAGTCAAAGGTGGCATTAAGAAGAACGGACAGGCTTTTCAAAAGCTAAAATCTTTTTGAGTACAAAGTCTGTAACCACACATGCAAAGGAAAAAAAAACTTCCACTTCACTCACCCTCAGGTTCACTGTCATTATGTTCCTCCTTCCAAGGTGGAGTAGGAGATTCGGGTGCCTGCGGCGCTGCTTCTGAAGTTCCACCCTCCTCGTCCTGCCCTGATACAGGCTCCTCCTTCTCTTTATCTGGGTCCTGTTTCTGCACGTCGGAGGTAAAAGAAGGAGGGGTGGATAGAGCGAGATCCGGCCGCTTGGAGAAGAGCTCTCGGAGGACGTTGATGGGGGAGACAGTGACCTCCCAGTTGGTAATACCAAAGTCTCTGAGATGGGCGCGGGCGTGGCTGGAAAGTCCGGCCCTGGTGTCAAAGCCAGCGCTGCAGAACTCACAGCGCATCACGCTGAAAGTTGCTGGATCAAAGTTGGCAACTGGCAGCAAGGCATCAAGAACAGTATCAGAGAAACTGATGCTGGAACAACTCCAGTCCTGGAGCCCGCCCTGCACTGCACAGTTTTGTATTTTCCCTGCTCGAACACACTCGAGTCAATTCATCAGCTACTAACACGAGAGTGTTAGAGCAGGAAAAACCATAGAGTCCCAAGGGCTGCAGGACTGGACTTGGGTAAACAGTGATAGAAAGTTCAGTTCAATACAGTTTAACAGAACTTTAACTATGAAAGCAACAGTACTAATATGTACTACACTGTTTCTTCGAATTAGTTTTCTTTTAAATTAAAGGGGCATTCTGGCATAAAACTAGAGTTAACAGCATTAATATGTTGTTCGACATGTTAAAAGAAAAAAAAAAACACTTCAAGCTGCCCAACCTCATGTTTCCACCTCAATGCAGTTCCTACCACCTTCAGCAAGTTTACAACATGACTTAAGTTTTGATTTTAAGTGCCACTTAAGCTTATAGAGTACAGAAAATAGCTTACAGAACACAGAAAACAGAAAAAGGAACTTGTGCTTCTAAAGTTTCTTTTGCATTTACTTTTGCTTTAATTCCCCATCAGATTATCTCTAATTTAATTACACTGCAGCACTTTCAAACAGTTTCCAATACTGTAAATGTGTTCTCTGTTCTGCAAATTCTGCAATTATGTACTGTGACTTTGTAATCTTTTTGAAGCTTAAACTTCTTATGATATATTTTTATTTATTAATTCAGTCCTTAATGATAACTTTCATGATGCTTTCATAACACAGGTCTTCAACAATGACAACGACGGCTAAACTGCTGTAGCAGTGGCTGTCCTTACCTTTTTTCTTCTTCTTTTGGTAGGAGAACTTCTTCTCAATGGCATTAACCTCTTCTGGGGATATGAAGTGTCTGACATTGTAGCTGACTCCAACTCTGTTGAGGTGACCCCTAATATGATTGGCTAGTCCGATTCCATTGTCAAAACGGTCTGGGCAGTAGGGGCACTTCCTCCCCACACTCTTTAACGAAACACCCTCTTCGTCTTCCTCATCCTCCTCTTCAGTTAAGGCCTCAAGAAGGCGATTAAAAACAGCCTGCTCTTCCACTTCATCAAGGTCATCGTCATTATCCTCATCGTCAGCATGGTCGTCATCTTTTGCCTCAGTGATATCTTGACCACACTTATCTTCTCTGTTTTCCAGTAGGGTCTCCTCATTCCTCTGATCTTTGGGCTCCTCACTGGTCTTTGGTGGAGGGGAAGGTTTAAGGTCTGAGGACACAGTAGAGGACTCTTCTCCTACAAGAAAATAAGAAAGCAGTAATGTGAAGGGAAGAGCCACAGGAGCACTGTACCTCCAAGAAGAGCTGCTCACTCATGGCCTTGATGAGACAGTTCTATCTGGTTTGGACTGGTAGCGAAGAAATGGTTTTTGCAATTAAAGTCATGCTCCGATTACACTGACAGGGTGCTTGCTGTTGTGTCATTAAAAAAATCCAGACTTGTAAAAAGCTTTTTCCCTCTTAATTGGTCTGCTTTTAAAACTATAACCTTCCAGACCTTTCTTTTCTCAACTGACAGTTCTCACAATAATGGCCAGTTAGGCAAAACAACATTTTGATGGGTTTTCAACTCAAAATAACAACACTTAAAGACTCGGTTTGACACAGCAAAATAAACACAAGGCAGAAGTAGCCTGTATATTCTTTCATTAACAAACAAAATATGAACACAGTCACTTATTGGGAGCACACTGGTTATGACTACTTGTGGGGTAGTTATTTAAAAAAGTTAACATTTATAAATAACAACTTATTTCTCTCAAACTGTAACAGGATTTCTTTACTTATTACATCTTGGAAAAAGTCATCTCACTATTTATTACTTTGCCAGGGCCCACCAGCTGGCCCAAAGTTTTGTTACACATTTCTATAACCTAAGAATAGCTCAACCGGTTTGCAAGTCCCTGTAGTTACTGACTAATAAGCCTTAGTATGTAATAAGCCTGGGATTTTAAGGAGTTAAATTGCTCTCTACAACCCAAACGAACCTGTACCAACTGGAAAGTTGCTACAAGGGAAAGACAAGTAGTCCTTTCACTACTAAAAAAACAGCTAATCACAGTACATGTTATGTAAAAGGCATATCTCTATCCCTATTGGCCTTTGCTCTGAACAAAACATAACTACACACTTTTTTCAATTATAAATGAGTGATTTAAAGACAGTCACCTTGAAATAAAACTGTACAGAGCTGTTTCTGAGTTAATGTTTCTTTTTAGGTGAGGTTGAGGCGCTCTGTGCTTCATCATAGGGATCTTTATCCATATTCACAGTCAGTTAGTATTTAGTCAAGAATTTAATTTCTAAAGTGTTACAGAACTTTGTTACTTTAACACAATACTTTGTAACGTGTTAGCCCAACACGCATTTTTCAGCTGTTATTATAAAGCAGTTTATTCATTCAACGTGACAGATTAGATCTGATCACAATTTTTCAAACTTTTGTACAAATTTCATACTTTTTTTAAGCATTGAAAACAGCTATTCACATTTTCTGGGTTTTAAGACCAGGACTGTATTAATGAAACGAAAATTCAAATGTGGGCAAAATACATAAAATGGAGAGATGCAATGAACATGAATACACCAAAAGTGAAAACTAGGTCTACTCTGACTTAAGGAGAACCTGAGTTAGGAATAATGTAAGGTATTCTGCCTAAAGTTAGACATAAGTTAAACCTGCTGAGACTCAATGAGAATATACACACTACTCTGCATCATTAAGAGACCTCTGAGCCTCAGCCTGTCACTCACCCATAACTCTGTTGTATGAGAGGGGAGTTTGGAGGTCAGAGCTGAGGGCGTTTATGAGGACGAGGGGTAACTTGTGTCTGAGCTGGGCCTGCTGCCCCTCGGCCAAATCTAGCCTCTCTGTCGCCCCCCGAAGGCTTGCTGAGAAACTGCGCTTCAGCTGCAATGCCAGGGCAGGTGCCTCCAAAGGGTCTGCAGGGGGAAGCAAGGGGTCGACCAGGTTCAGACATGAGAAAAAACCTGGGCTTACCCCAAATAGTGGCCAATAGTATCAGACATGAATTGGAAAACAATTTTTTGAGGCTGAGCATTTATCTCCCAAGTATTCGCCCTTGCTGACTAGGGCCACTGATGGAAACCCTTTTTAGAAGTAAAAAAAAATTACTACCCTTTCTCTTAGTCAATAAATACATTTCCACCAACAGCAGCCTATAATGAGCATCAGCCAATGGTGGGGGAACTGCACCACATGCCTTTAATAAACACAACATTAGACATGTCATATGCATGCATCACAATAAACACACAATGCACAAATATGACCAATGTAAAAACTAGATAGGAAACATTTAATTATATGATCATTTGGTTGATTGTGGTAGTCAACAATACTGCAATCTTTTCTGTTCCAGAACACCAAATACAAAATGCTTTAAGGAATACATTAAGTAACACGTTTTTTGAAAATGTTTTAAAAATAAAATGTGCTTACCAGACATAACAATGAAATGGGTTTGAAGCAAAGAGAGCATTAGCTTTCATATAATTAAAATTGTTGCTCTTCTCATGCGTTATTTGACTTATTTTATAATCTGGCCATACCTATTTTGATGACCAGTTTTGGCTCAGCCTCTGGTTCTGGTAGAGGTGCAGCTTCTGCTTGGTCCTCCTCTGTTGTCTGATCAGTGTTTTGGTTCTGGTTCTTAGCATCATTAGTGTCAGTAAGCTGAGGATCCTGTCGGCTACTTCCTCGCGTCCGCCCCATTGAATCCCTCACAACTCGTTTTGAGCGTCGTTTCCCTGTACTCTTGAACGCAACATCCCTGCGTCGTGGTGCCTTTGCATTTGAAGGTACTAGTGCAGGAGTTTGAGGCTTTTGGAAGTTCTCCTCTGCTAGACCCACCTGCGTTGTCCCAGATTCCTCCTGCAGGCACTGACCCACAGGGGAAGGGGCATCAGTATGAGCACTTGCTACATCTGGCTGGTCTACAGGTTCTGCTGGAGTAGCAGAGACAGTGTGATCCTGGCTAGATCCTGGAAAGGGGTCACCCTCATTCTCAGCCTGTGGGTCACAGGCATTGGTCTGAGAGTGGTCAACTTCAGGGTGTTTTTCCGTTGCTTGCACAGAGGCTCTCGTGGGATACCTCTCGTTGGGCAGTGTGGTAGCATGGCTTGATGCTACATTCCCAGAAAGTCGTGTCTGACCTTTTTTACGGGACTTTTGCTGGAAACGGGGCGAGGCTCGAGGGACACCAGCCTTTGCTCGAGTGGTATGTGTCTTGGCATGGTCAGCAAGCTCTTGAGGCACATCAGAGCTGTAGTTGCACTTGAGACAGACAAACTGGCCACAGACAGTAGAAGGTTCTTTAATGGTTGGACGCCTGGGCTTTCTGCGACTGGTTTGCACTACTGTCCCCTTCCCTCCATCATTTAGCTTTCCAATCTCTTCCAAGATCTTGCGTCGTGATTCTTGATGTCGTCTGTGGTGATCCACCAGCACTAGCCTGTCGGAGAACTCCTGACCACACTCCATACACTCAAAGCCAGTCTTTTTGGCCCGCCTCCTTCCTGCACCCTCCTCGCCACGCTGCCCCTTTCTCCCACCATCTGGGGCATGCTCTCGCATGTGTTCCCGCAGATGTGCTCGTCTTTTGAAGTAAATGCTACATTCCACACAAGTAAAAATCTCCTGGCAAAGCTCCCCTCTGAGTCCTTGTGGCCTCTCCCTCTCCTGAACTTTCTCCTCTTCTTCCTCCTTAAACTCAAACACCCCTGCTTCGTCGTTCACCGTCTTAGCACGGCCCTTTGCCCTGGCAGAGGTTAACCTAGTCTTCCTGCTTGTAGCAGTTGTGCGTTGCCAGGGGTTCAGTCCGGAGAAAGGTCTCAGTAAGGCCCTCTTCTTTCTCCTACGCTGGATAAAGGTGCAATGTGCCCAGGGACCTGGTGGAGGACTTTCCGGGTCTGAATCACCTGGAAAGGTGTATACATCCCTTTCAGGAACCTTCCTCACCCCCTCCTTCCTCTGATCAAACTTCTTAATCTCTTCTTCCTTTTTTTGGCACCCCTCCTTTGGCTTTGTTTCTGAGAAAAGTGACCCAGCCTGGTCCGACACACTTCCAGCTTTGTCTTTTTCCACTGCAAACAAAAGGGAACACTTCATAATTCAAAAAGGGTAGCATTGTAGAATCCACATAATGCTGCTCCAAAGTAAAGGTCTAATTAATATGCATTTATTTTTCTCCAAAAAACAATGCAGTTTCAAATGCCCCTCCCTCCAACTCTCACGTTGCGTAGTGCTGGACTGTGCAATCCTTGGCTCTCCATATGTTTCGTCTCTACCTTGATCTCTCCTCTCCAGCGGACTGGCCAACTCCATCTCAAAGAATAAGTTCTTGGACGTCTCAGTTGTTTGGTAAACCCCACAGTCAACTCTGCACGTTCAAAAAGGGTGTACAGAGCAGGATTTTAACAAAAGATCAAATAGAACACAAATAGATTTGTTTTATGATCTTAGTTTTTGGTCTCGTCTTCTTCCATCTTTCTATTGTCATTAGTGTTATTTTTAAGCAACATCTCTTGTTTGAATATGTTTAACTTTCCATATTCAGACCATATCTATCAAAATAACTGGAAGTGCCAGTCTGTATATCCACAGGCGTTAGCCATGTACACTGGGGTTCAAAAACCTAAGACCATACTAGAAATCCAGATTTTTAAATTTAAACCTGAATATTAAAAAAAAAAAAATAGAAAAACTGAAAACAAAGAAAAGTTATGACAAGTAAAATACAAAAAAGAAAAATATTTTTTTTTAAGAGTCTGTCCTATTTCTAGGTCACTACTGAAATTTTAATAAATCTGTGACCCTGACAGTGGGTCAGATTTCTTTCATGTTTTATCACTTTCATCTCAGGTGAATTTGATCTACCTATCAGAGGCTTTCGCATAAACTTACGGAGTCTATGCCAGCTCAACTGCACATTGTCATTATAGCAAAATGGGGACATACCAAATACAAAGTAATTCCAAAACTGATTTTACATTCTATACATACTGTTAAGCTGATATATCATTTGTAACAATGCACTTTGTATTCAATTTGAAAACAATGCAAAACAGAAGCATTTTTACTGGTGCAGACTTTTGGACCCCTCTGTACGTGTAATATCTGTTTAAAAAAACCTGTCCCACTTCATCTCACCTATCTTGTTCCTGTCCACAGGTGGGACTTCCTGGACTGTGAGCAGCTAGGCCATGTGGATTAGAAAAGTGCTGAAGCTCCTCTTCTGACATACACCATTGGGAACAACACAAACAGCACACAAGTGACTTAACACAGGAGCAGACCCACGGGTAAATTAACAGCACTTAGACAACAGCACTTTTCCAGGAACATTATTCGCACAACAGAAATAAAAACGCCAACCTAATATTTGCTTAGTGATACTTAGATCCTAGATCAGTGTGCTATAATACATCACAAACCAAAGACTTACAAACATAAAAACAGCAAGCAAAGCACACTGTATCCTCGTCAATGTACACTGACATAATGAAAATAATTACCATCAAATATTTCTTTCTCAGAGTCTGAGTCCCATGTTAGAGATGAAGGGAAGGCTGAGGATCGAGGTTTTCTCAGACTGTTCCCATAGGTTTCAATTCTGGGGAGTAGGCTTCTTGGAAGCCCAGAATCCCCTTCGCCATCATCCCTCTCCAGACCACCACCTTGGGACAACCCCCCCTGTATGTGTGTTAATAAAAGTTAGATAGAGTTAGGTGTTAGGGGTGGACGGTATGGTAAAATATATCACAATATTTCCTCTTTTTCTGAGGTTTTATAAGTTGGAAACAGGGATGTAACAATGCATCATGACACTGTGATACCACTATGCGATAATATGACATTGTGCATCTGCATAATGGAGATGTAATGATGCACCACAGAGAAGGGACATTCTGTTAACTGCATTGTTTGAACACCAAAGTTTACACACGATCAGCTCCAACTCACTCGAGCACTCTTACTGCCACCCAGCTCTAGAGTCGTTAGTATGTAGTGTGCAAGAACATGATTACAGTCATCACTTTCCCTTATTCAAATTATGTCCAATGTATTGCAGTTAGTCAGTGTTTTTGAAGTGCTGACAGCATCCACAATATACTCAGAGAAGCAGCATTTATCACGATGCAATAAAACTTCATTGTCATTAATGCTATAGAATAGAACTAAAGAAAAGAGTAAGATGTAAGAACCCTCAGCATTTAGAAATAAACGTTTAACATGGGACCAAGGTCCCCAACGACATCTCAAGTATAACCGGATGAGAGAGGACGTGTACATTTACATTTACATTTACATCATTTAGCAGACGCTCTTATCCAGAGCGACTTACAAAAAGTGCTTTGTCTATCCAGAGAAAGAATCTTTGCTAGCAACCAATAGGTTAGAGAGAAAGACAGTCCTAAACTTAGATGTATGAGGGAAGGATCTGTTAATCCTCGTACCAGCAAGCTATTGTTGAGCAGAGAGGGGGATGCTGATGGCCCACCGATGGATGATGGATCAAGGGGATCCATGCTGGAGGGAGGACCTACACCAGGCTCCATTAGTCCGGCACGCTGGTCTGCTGCACTTCACCTACATAGTTCCTCTTCTGTTCACATACATGTAGACAGAATACATATACACTCTTTAAAAAATGGTTCTTTAAGGGTTCTTTAGTAATGACAATGGTTTAATATAGAACCATGAACACTCAAAAAACCATTTGCATGCTTAAATAGCTCTCTGCATGGTGAAACGGTACTTCAGACTGACTGACCTTCTGTACAGCATCATTCTATTATCACAAGATTTACATCGTAACAATAGCAGAACCCTTTTTGGTGCTAGGTAGAACAATTTTCAAAAAAGTTCTATAGAGAGAACCATATACAATTCATTCTCCATCAATCTGAAGAAATATTTTACTATGCAAAGAACCATTTAAGCATGAAATAGTTCTAAATAGGACTCATGGTTCTACATAGAACCACTGTATTTACTACAGAACCCTTAAAGAACCATCTTCTTTAAGAGTGTAGGTAGTCATTCTCTTGTTATACTCTGGTTTGGAGAAAAGATGGTGTGAGCAGCCTGTAATATAATGGCAGGGACAACGCAAGAACACTTTCCAGCAACTTGACGCGTTTAAATTTAGTGACCACTGTAGCCCACCCGCCCATTTTTTTTCACCTGAATGAAGCAAAAAGGAAAAAGGCAAAAGTGCCACATTTCATTCTTCGGTCGCTCCACCTGCCTGCTGCAATATGGGACCGTCTGTCTGACCTATTTCAACATGTCTGGTTTCAGTAAATTTAGCGCTGTCCTTGTGATGACGAATGCTGAGGAGACAACGCTCTTCTCCTCGCTAACGATGATGGAGGGCTACAGAGGAGAGTACTTAGGGTGGGCTAGCCTAGCCTCAGCCCATGAAAAAAGGAACAACACCCCGTGAATGTTAAATGCCCCCTCGGATAAGCAGACGCGAGGGAAAGCCAGAAAAAAAATTGTGCAACACTCACCGAAACGGCCTGCCTGGCTGCCTCACAGTCTTCTTCTCCGGAGCGTCCTGCGTCCAGTCACACGCAGCAGCGGCTCTCCATGATCTGCTCGGGCTGAAGTCTCATGTAAACACGCCCGCTGTGCTGCACCGCTGCTCCTCCAGCTCTGTGCCGAGTGTGTGTGCGGCGCTGAAGGCTAAGCGGCCGTGCTCGCAGAGAGCAGCCCGGACTCCATGTTGTTGGCTTCGGAGGGACGCCACGGCTGCGATGGTGACGTTGGCGGGGTGGGGAAGAGTTGCTGCTGCTGTTAACCCTGGAGTTGTTGCACTCAGAGAGGGCAACTCTTTCGCTCCCAGTCGGCCGTTAGGCTGCCGGGATTAGCCTGCTAGCGTAAACTCTTCCACAGAGCCCTGACGCCGCGTTTAACCCAGCGGTGCATTTAGAGACTTTGAAGAAAGCGCTGCGTTCAGTGTTAACTCGTGTAAAGCGCATATTAAAACGCTCATATCACGGAAAAACTACATTTACGAACCATTTTTACATAAAAATAGTTTTATGTGTCGTGTAAACACTGTTAAAGTGTCGAAACGCATCATTATCCACACAGTGTTTGCGGAAATTAAGCTGGCTGTTTTCATTGTTTTTGTTATGTCACAAAATCCAACGCGTTTACTGTTTAAAAGTTTTGAATCACCATTTAAAAGTTTAAAGTCACTGTTTTCTTCAAATAAAACAATGTTTTTCAAGGAACATTTATGAAATAATTCTATTAAGATGCTAAACTTCATAAGTTATAAATAGGTTGGTCAGTTTTTTTTTATATAGTATGTCCAGAGTGATGAACAGAGCTGTAGGTTATTCTAAAATGACTGAAAAAGCTGCACAACATTTTAATGAAATGAACAATACGCTTTGTGTTTGAAAAAAAGGTTATAAAATCTGAAAGCTTGTCAAGTCACTGTAATTACAGTATATTATTTATGATTTAATAATTATTCCCAAAAAACTGAAATATTGAATAAAACATCTTAAAATGGCTTCTGGTGTCTAGCTTATAGTATTTCAATCTGTACTGTATATTATTAAATATAATAACAGAGTTTGGGTTCTCACAAACACAAATACTGCAACTTGAAGAAAAAAAAAATACTGAAAAATGATTTTTTTTTTTTTGAGTATGCAAACAGTGATGTCTGATTGAACGATTAAAAATCAACCATTCTTTTTTTGTTGTGTTTGAAAAAGAAAGCCCAACCACTGGGTCCTCTTTACAAGGCAGAAATTACGTGATAAATGGCTGATATAACTCAAGTAACGGGTCAGGGCTGTGATGTGTGATATCAATTATCATACAGTTTGACTAAATTCCATTAATGTGACCAGAAGAGGTCACTGTGCTGTATGACCTGAGAGGGCAACAGTGTATTAAAATTTTGTGCTGTAATATAACATTTTACCATATTAGGATTCTTTTCCTCAATAGAGGATCCCTTAATCTCTAAGCACATCACCATTTGGCAAGTACTCCTCATTCTCATAACTGCATACCTTACACAGTACGTTCATAGTAGTTACTAGATAATAATTAACAGTAGTTACTACATAAATAACATTAAGATTAATAACTGCAAAAAACAGGCCTGAGAGTTTATAGGTTTAAGGAGTTCAGGCATTGGCCAAACTCATTACTAGAGGTTCCCCGGCTTGAACATTCAAACTGAAATGATGCTAAGAGGCCATGTTAATTCTAACTATATTGAGTCAGTGAAGCCTTCAAAAATCTGACAAATCTCCTTTTCAATAATGAGAGATTTTCCTTAGAAGTTTTATTAAAGAAGTCACAAACCATGCTTTCAACCTAATTTTTTTATTTTATCTAGTATTTTCGCCGTCTGTTCTCTTGGTGCCACAAGTAGAAAGTTCTGCTAGCTCCTATATTTTTTTCTGAGCGGGTGTTTAATGGGATATGTCAGTGGGTCATGTACTGGACATTTATGAAAACTGAGTGAAGAGCCAGAACTTGAATCTGCTGCCACAAGTTAGAATAAGACATATGTGACCCATTTTGAAGGAGTGAAAACTGACTCCAATACTATGTTCCTGAAGAGCTTATACTCATAATGTAAAGCTTATGTGTCAATTGAAGGGTTTTTCCCAGAATTGTTACATTATATGGAGTTTCTCTAAAGTTTAAAAAGGTTGTCACACTCACACCTGATTACAAATATGGTTCTCTAAAGAACCATCCACTGAAAAGTTAATAGGGAACAAAAACGAGTTCTTCTGTAGCCCTGTGCAAGGAGTCGGAAACGCTAGCCAGTATGTAAATAGCAAACACAGCTTTAAACAGTTCTACACACATAAAATCACCATACATACAACATATGTTTCAATAGTGACAATTTTTAAGGTTACACACTCATTTTCAGACTTTGGGACACATTTACATTTAAACAGGGATGCAGTCTATAATGCAAGGGTGTGACTAAAATAAGGCTCTACCTATGGACTAAAGCTTTTTGTGTTACGGTAGTTTTAAGATATAAGATATAAGATTTAGCATCTTAAATAAACATTAAACTCATGATCAATCTAAATCCTTCAACTTTACTCTAAAAGAAATAAAAATGATTGGGTTTAGGACAGTGGAATGGTCCATACGTACAAGGTCTAGGTTGAAAAACAGTGAACCTAAATTTAAAAGTGCTTTATTAATGCTGTTTACAGTGTGCTAATGTGAAGAACAGTATCTCTATCAAAGCAAAACAACAACAACTCCAGGCTTTTAAAATGACCAGTGCAATTAGACTTATAAAATACCAAAGCTCAGAAATAGTACAGTATAGTACAGTATTAAGTGTGGTGCATTAGAAGCATTCAGTCATAATTCACTCCACTATGTTTGCATGATTATCCACTTTAAGTGTTATTTAATACTAATTATTACTACTACTAATAATAACTATATCATTAAAGCAACATTTGGATAATAAACACATCTCTGTTACAGGTTGTTAAAAATTTTATTCTGCAATGGAAAATGCTCAAGAAATTCCCAGCCTTTAATTCTTAACCTCCTGTAAAACACACAAACACAAGTACATGCAATCAGTCTATCAGTCTGTTCCATCCAGAAAACATCAAAAGCAAACAGAGATACAGTTCATAACTTCATGTGACTTGATGTCTTACCGCAAAGTGCTTCCAGCCTTGGATTTCACTGTAGAGGGTATCTCCAGGGCAGGAGGTGCTGACCACCTGTCTGTGGCCATGTATAGTGAAGTTTGACATCAGTCTCCCTCCGTCTGTGGCACACTTTGCCAGCTGGTGTCTCACTAGGTCCATGGTGCGCTTGGCTGGGATGCTGGAGGTGTAGTCTCCTATGAAGGAGACGCCGTAACCTATGGAGTTGTGGCCTTTAGTGTGGGCGCCTTGCCAATGCCAGCCACGCCCTTCATACAGGTACCCGTCAGAGCCAGCCACGAAGCTGGAAAGGAGTAAACAGAAGTTAGGAGAGAGGTCATGTGACTGTTATGCTTGTCTGGTAAACTCAAACTGATCTAGACTGCAGACTAAAAAGCAATGTAGGGTCCAGAAGTCACTTTGTGTTAACCCTCCTAGTAGGACTCACAAAATCAGGTCCTCTTCAACACCAAGCCTTAACTAACCTTCAACTGCTTCCAGTCTAAACTTCTTGGTCCTTTCAAATTGTTTGGTTATTTAAAAATGAGCTATACCCCTACAGATTCACTTCAGGACAACAGAATTAATGCTTAGAATTATATAGTTGTTACTCACTTTAATATACTGTTTACATTAAATTATGTAATTACATTATTCATTGCATAGTCATGTCATTATGTCATCTGCATTCAATTTATGTTCTGCACTGACAGGTTAAAGTTTGTTTCGATGTCAGAAAGTGACACAAAGGGTGTTTTTGTTAATAGAACAAAAGTATATAGACAATGTACTATTAAAAATCACCATGTTATTTATTCTATTAATATTGGTATTACAAACCCAACTCGAAAATGATGTGACAGTATGTGAAATGCTAATAAAAACGCAATTATGAAATAGTACAAAAACACAATTTTGTACCTTATTACTTCATTATTTTTTGTAAAGATATACTGGTTCTATTAAAAAAAAAGCTGAATTTCAGACCACATTACGCATTCCCACTGTGCATTAGTCCATTTCCGATGAGCTCGATTCCAGAGAAGTCAACAGCCCTTCTGTTGTTTACATATGGCTTCCACTGTGCATAGTGCAGTCTCAACATTTGTGGATGCAGCAACAGATAGTGTTTATAGATTATGTTTTTTCAAAGTATTGTTCAGATATTCAAAGTCTGAGTATAACCAAACATATACCTCACACAGCACATGTCACCCTACAAAAAATAAAGGTGTTGGGCCTAATTTATTATTTATTTATGTACGTTACATAAATCTGAACTGAAATTTATTCTTTTATACTTATCTTCATAAAACAGAAGTTAAAATTGAAATTGAATGTAGTTCACTACATAACAAACTACAATTAATTATTTAATTGGCAATTGTTATATTTCTATTATTTAAATAAATAGCAAAACGACAATAATAACATTAGACATCTGAGAGTTAAATGTCACTCTGTTTCAATTACCAGTCCCCTGCCAAACAAATGGGTAGTGGTTTTTAGGACACCACTTGCTTGGAAAAATGCAATGGCATACTTCATCATAGGTTGCAGTTGCCTGTGCATATTTAATTTGAACAGCCAAAGCTTATGTAGGCACTTTCATGTCACGCGCTGGAATGAACAATCGTTGAAAGTTACATTAATACATCTTGGCATTTTTGAGCCATTTTCCTGTTCTTTACATCCGTTTCATTCGGTGACCCTTGCTCTGTCTTTTGATGTCTAATCATGGATCCTCCCTCTGTTTCCTGCTTGTCTGTGTGTGGACTGCTCCCTGTCCTAAAGAGTGCTCTGGGGTACCACCCTAGCCGTTACCATGAACAAATAAAAATAAAAATGAATGGCAGGTTTATAAACCCTATTTAACAGCCAGAAACTGTCACTGTAGCCAGGGGCGGATTAACACACAGGCTATCCTAGGCTGCAGCAGAATACAGAAATTGGGGCCCACTGATTGGGCAGAAAAAAATATTTTACATTTATAACAAAAAACTTGAGCCCTCATTGGCCCATTAAAAAGATAAACACATAGTAAGCTCAGGATTGATTAGTTTGGATAGATTCGTAGATCAGTTTTAATTTTTGGGTGACTTTACAGCACTGTTCCTCCTAGTAAGTGTGTCAGAAAGGTCTGTTTAATGTACATTAGCTAAATGCTTAGAGGGTCAAGCTAGCTGTAAGCTTGACGCAAACTACACCATTGGCGACCATAAAAACCAGATCCCGTCACTGAATCAATTTAAGAACATGTACACAGTGCCACCTGAAAAAACTCCAACAACTGCCATGGCCTCCACAACCCCAACTGCTGCAGCGGAGCTAACATTAACAGACGCTGACAGCGATAGCAGCTCCCCCTTCTTATAGTTCGGACCCTGCATAGTGGACTAAAACTGATGAATAGATGCAGGCATACTGGGCCTCATCA